TAGGATCCTAGCCCAGGATGAAGCTCAACATGGCATCTTAATCAGGCGATTCACACATCAGTATTTACAATCAAGTCTCAATGGCACAGTTCACATAGGCAGTTATATACATTGCAATACATAACATTAAGTATCCCCCAGATTTTTAAAAAAACGTTTTAGATTTTTGTGCACACCTGGGGACCGCCCCAAGTGCCCCCTCTGTGCTGATTTAGATATCCGCACAGAGGGGGCTACTTCGGAATTAGATATATAGATATATATTTATATATTTTTATATATTTATATATTTTTATATATTTCTAGCCCGCTCACCCTGCACAGCAGGCTCAGAGCAGGTACAACAGACATGAATATAAACAATCAGTTAACACAAATAGAGCACAGAAAACATGTGCATATATACAAGTTACGCTTCATTAGTTATACATGATGTGTAGAAGTCATAAGTTCTATGATTTGCAGGTAAAATGTTTAAAAGGACCATCTCTTACTGCTTGTCACTAGGAAGTGAACTATGCTTCCAGGTGGTCAGCCATGTTGGTCTGAAGCAGTAGAACAATTTTTCAGTTTTTCAAATTTGAAAAAGTGTGCCTTGCACACGAAAGTTCGTACCTTGAATAAACCTTTGTTGGTCTTAAAGGTGCCACTGGACTCTTAATTTGTTCTATGCCTTCAAATGTTATTGATTGTAGCAGTTTAGCCAAGACCTTCCATCTGGTCACTGTATTTTAGAAAGTACCTTTCTGAATGTCAGCCATGGCCTTTTGCTAAAGCTGCCTTCAGTGAGAAGCAATGGTGGTCCTGATTCCAAACAAAGTTACTTGAGACATGACTGAAAGTTAATTGATCTGGGGTTGCATCCAAATTGCTTTGAAAGTCTATCTGATGTTGAAATGTCCTGATGCTCCTCCTGCTGTTAACAGAGCCCACTACATCCAGAACTGCTGCAGAAAGTTGCTTCAGCTTTTAGTTAACTGTGAGCAACAGAAGATACCTTTTGCCGGGGATGCACTTGTGAATTATTCATTTATGTGAAAGGCACGAGAGAGAGAGAGAGAGAGGTGGACAAGGCAGAGGAATTACGCATCCTACCTTGTTTAGCCTTAGGCCATAACCTGTCATTTGGGTCGCCATGTTTGGGTCGCTGGTGGAGCACTGCCTGCCCCCAGTGAGGAGTATCAGATTTTCCATCTCTCATAACTTCACCCAACCTCATCATTACTTGTTCACTTTTAAGATATTTCCCCTACATCAACGTAGTCTCCACTGCATAGGGCAAAGCCTGTATACTGGTCGGCATCTGCTTTGCTACAAATGAACAGGTCACGAAGACAATAGTATGCAGATTATCTTCATGTAGGAAAAATGTTGTGCTATGTGTGTGCACACATGTCAGTTGAAACATACATCTTTGGAAAGCACTCTTCGGCCTCTGTAGTGTGGAGGAGAAAGGGCACAACATTTTCCTCTCTCACCATGCTGTGCAGCCAAATTGGGGGGGACGGGACAACAAGATCTGCTTTAAGTGCAGTCAGGCCATCCTGCTCTTTACAGACAAAGATGGAGCAAATATTAAATGAGGGTCACCCCATGGATGTACCTTACAGTCATTTACTGCTCCCCTGCCGAAGAGTTGGTTTGGGGATTCCTGCTTTTAAAAACACATGAGGGAAACAGAACCCTTGAAATGCAGCAATGAAACCTGCCCACTACCTTTACATTAGGCTCCTGGCACCCCTTCCCGGTTTCACCTCCTTCTCTTCTGGATGCTTCACCCATCTACTAATCCACAAAAGGGTTAATGTGGCTTTCCAAAGCTGCTGAAGGGAAGGGGGTGTTGGGGGTTGGTAGGAAGAGGTAACACTTTCTCCTGCTGTCATTTATGCCGAATTTTCTTTGTTGCAGGATATTTGTTGAAGGATCTGTCTGGGTAGATTCTGCAATATTACAAAGCAAGGCCCCATCCTTCCCCCACCCCACCTCTTGTCATTCATTCTCTGGCACTCCGTTATGCTTCCTTCTTCCTTTTGCTTTCTGCCTTTCTTCTTGTCTCACTTCAATCCCCCTCCCAAACCTTCTGTCTCTCGCCCCCATCCACTCCCCCCCATGGGACGCGAGACACTCCCTTGCAATCCACAGAATAACTCAGCCACACACAGACAAAGGACCCGATTTATTTATTTATTATTCCCATTTCCCCCGGCGCCTGTTTTGTCTACCTCAGTCTCCCTCTGGATTTCAGGGGGGAAGAGCCCCCTTCCTGAAAGCGCGGAGCTAGGTGGGAAGAGAGGAGAGGCATATACACAAAAGGGATTATTAGTCTGGATTTAGATTAGGATCGTGTTTCTTTTGCTGTGGGAGCCCGATGGCGCTGAAGGAGCCGGGAAAGAGGGGCCAGGGACAGAAGGCATCGCGGGGGACTCCAACGGAGCCTCCTTAACCCCAAAGGGAAAAACCACTGGCTCTCCGGCGAGAGTTGCTAGCCAACCTGACACCCAGAGCGCTGGAATCCCGCTGCTCGCTGGGTCGTCCTGCCTTGCCGAGCCAAACCCAGCCGAGGGGAGGGGCGGTACAGGTGGAAAAAGAGGTGGCGACGGGGAGGAGAACGGCGATGGGTCCGGCCCCCACTTCACTGCCCGCGGAGGTGGGAACGGGGCGGGGCCATGCAAATCGCAGGCGGTAGAAGCCAATTGACTGAATAGGACTTGGGTGTTCAATGTGAGAGAGGGGGCTTTTTGTAGGGGGAGGGTGATTCCCCCCCCTTTTCCAAGCAGGCAGGAGGCCACAGTATTATTATTTTTTTCCTCCTTTTTTGCCTCCTGCGCTCGTCAGCTTCTGTCGGCCGGCGGAGAGAACTTCGAGGGGTCAAGCGTGCATTTAAGCTCGGACAAGCGGCCAGAGGAGCAGCGAAAAAGTCAAACCAGCTGCTCGGTGGCGAAGAAGAAGTCCCACCCGGTTGGCTGCCTCTAGAACCGGCTCGGCTGTAAATCGAGCGTCTCCATGGATTGGAGAAGAGACCTCCTCGGGTCCTGAATTCCAAGTCCAGGAAGGTTTGGCGAAGGCAAAGAGCGGGATGGCGGCGGTGGGACGCTGCTCCCCGGACAGCTGTTGAGAAATGCCCCTTTGGCGTCCGTAGGGGCTCCGCTCCTTCCTCCCCCACCCCCACTTGGGAGTTGGGAGCCAGCGCTTCTCGGATCCTACCACCAGCGAGCGGCAAAGCTGCCTGGGGAGCGTCCAGCCGGCGGCTTTTGCCCCAGCTCTGCGCCTCCGCCCAGCAAGGTAAGTCTGCGCCGAGGGAGAGCTGAGCCGGTAACGGGGCTGCCCAGCCCTGGGGGAGTCCCGCCACCCTCCGCCCAGCCTTTGCTGGCTTCCCAATGCGGGAAGCGGCTGGAGGGTCTCTGTCAAAAGAGCAGCCAGCCGGCCGGTCTCGTTTGGGTGGGGAAGGACCGGGGCGGGGGGTGGTTTGCTGATTTTCTCCGGACGACAGTAAGTGCCGGTGCCCCTTCCGGACCCGCTCTTGCTTTGGTCCTCGCGCCACTTGCTCCGGCGTGCTTGAGAGAGGGGGGTGGGTGGGATTCCTGGGGAGGCGAGCGGGACTCGAAGGACCACCTGGATCAAGGCCAAGGGAGCCGGGGAAGAAGTGCGCAAAGCGGCAAACTTTCAGTAGGCGGCGGCCCCTCCGCTCCTGCTGCCCAAGAAGTGACAGTGGCTGGATCCGGCTTTGCCGCCTCTGCGCCCGGAAAGTTGAGCAGGAATCCAGAAAGGGGGGGGGGGTCGGGCAAGCAAGGAGGCAAAATAATGATGATGATGATGATGATGATGATGATGATGATGATGATGATGATGATGATGATGATGATGATGAAATCCTGGCCGCTTTGACTTGGCAGGGATCCTCCTCCTTCTCCCCAGAGGGGTGCCGAGGTCGGACTGGCGGGGTTTTGTTCTGGTCGAGACTCCTGCTGTCCCTCAGAAGGCAACGATGGGAAAGCTAGAGGAGAAGACGGCGGCTCGCCGCGCCGCCGGAGAGACTGGGGGGGGGGGACGACTCCGGGGCGTGGGGTGCGGGACACGCACCTCCGAAGGGCTGGCAGGCGCCGAGAAGGCAGGCTCCCGCCGGGCAGCTCAAAACGCCGCTGGCCCCGCGCCACAAACCATGCCCTCCGTATGAGCGGTTGGGGTGCGAACAAGCCGCCCGCAAGGGGGCGGCTGCCGACTCCGCGCTCTGTGGGCGAGAAGCGCTTCCTTGCCTCGCTCGTTCCTCCGGCGCCTCAGACTGGAGGGGCACTCACGCTCTGGAGGAGTCCCGACTAGTATCTCTGGGGCAAGCGCCGAGGGAGGGAACGGGGCTTAGACGCCGTACTCACTTGCTCGCGAGTAGACACGCATCGGGACGCACAAACGCGCAATAGTGGACTCTCCCCCCCCTTGGTTCCACGTGTGAATGTTATGAATGTAGGAGAAAACGACGGCTGAGACAGGTTGTACACGTGCGCGTTACAGACGGATTGAACGTTCACGTGTGGTGACTGCGGCCACGACTTTTGTGTGTTTCTCGGCACGCTGCAGAGCTGGAGGATCACAGGGCATAAAGTTGAAGAATGAAACGGTGGTTTTTTGGTGTGTGGAGTGTTGGCTCTAGAGAGACTCTGCCGCTCCTTCGGTATGGCCGGGGCTACTGAAGCCGCGGTCCAGCCTCAGCACCGACGGAGGGAAAGACTCGCGCTCTTCCTCTCCCGCCTTTCTTCTGCCCTCTTCTTCCCTCTCCCGCCGTTTTTGGTATCCCACCAAATTAGTTGCAGCGGTCCCGCTAGGAGGGCGGTAGGTGTGGCTGTGTGCCCGAGGGAGGCCGGGAGCTCGGCCCCTTTTGCAACTCAAGCAACTCCTGAGGTAAAATGCTATGGCGGGCCTGCTGCTGCCGTGGCCGGCCAGGGGCTCTCCCTCTCCCTCTTGGTGCGCCTAGGTGGTTTCCTCGCCGCCTTTCATGTCAAACACCACTGACGAAGGTCGCCCCTGTTATGGCGAGGGTCACCTTCCTCGCGTGCCCCTCCCCGCCCTTTGGGGCCTTCTACCCTAACTGGGCCAATGACTTCCTACACACACACACACACACACACACACACACACGGTGGGCCAATGACTTCCTACACACACACACACACACACACACACGGTGCTCACAGGGTCTTCTGTGAGGGCCTGTAGGTTTGCATGCCTCAAAAGCGTCTCTCTTGCCCTTCGTGTGGACGAGGGTCATTTGTATCGCGGATGTGCATTCTGGGCGGTTTAACCTTCACCATACCAAGCGGGATATAAATATAAATAAGTGCATCGGGAACCTGCTGTGAGAACGCACCCGAGGAAGCAGACAGGTGGCTGCTTGCACGCTGTCGCTCTCTTGATGCTTGAGAACCCTCCCTTTCGCAGTAGTCTGGATGGAAGGCAGTTTTCACAAGGAACTTCTAAATAGCTTTTAGCGTCTCTGAATGAATCATACAACCCACAACAGCTGGAATATTTATTTATTTGACTTATAGACAGGGCGTTGAAAATACACCTTTGAAAGAAGTGGCTCTCTTAGGCTTCTTTAATACTGTACAAACAGTTCATGCTGTCTTCACAGCAGAGGCTTCAATTGGGTCTCCATGGAATGCAACAGTAAAATCTGCATCCCTTAACTATTTAAAAGCATCCACTCCTGGAATACTATTTAATATAACATGTCAAAATGTGAATTTCAAGTAGGTTTCTGCACATATTAGGGGATGAGAACACTTAAATGCTGTTTAAATAACTGAATCCTCAACAAAAAAAAGTCAAATACAAAAAGCACAGGACCATCAGTGGCTACCATCCAAGTGGGTTCATTTCCCTTCTCACCACTTCCCTAAGCATTAGCATTAGAGGACAGGCCATTCTGTAATTGTCTTGTTTCTTGTGCCTGTAGCTTGAAGTCTTTAATCTTATCAGAGAAAAGACACTAGCTTATAGAAATGCTTGACTATACCAATATAGAAATTTTGGCCTGGTTTTCTTTGCCTACACCTCTTTCCAAGTGGCCTTGTAAGTGGAGAGGAGGCATTGTGTTGTTGAAATTCCACATCAGCCAACTAAGTATCTTGTTGGTTTTTTGCATTGCAAGGCCACTTAAATGCAGTTTTTCATTATTATAACTCTTTTATATTATATTAACTTGTCTTGCATTTTCAGAGCAAATGGTTGTCACATTTTTTTTGGCAGAGCTGTATATGCACAGAATGCAGTTACTTTTCTTCACACTAGTTAATAAGGTTTTAATTTTTAAGTATATCAGTGTACATTTTATCCCCTCTTAAATGCAAATCCTTCATCATAACATTGGGTTTTGCTGTGTTTGATTACTATGTTCCCTTTAGTAATCATATGTTACCTAGTTGGCCAAGCTGCTGCTGGGCCATAAAACTCTGATTCTACACTACCCACTATATGCCTGCCAGTATAAAAAAAGTGTGTAACTTCTCTTTAAACAGGAATACTACTTCCACAGTTTCACCCTATGCTTGTATACTTAAAAAAGAGTGAACACTGACTCTTGGATGGGGAGGGAGCAAAAAACCTATCTGATTGTGATCAAAGGGGAACATAAAAGTTTTCAGCCTCTTCTCCTTACAACTCTCTCCATTTACTTGGGCCCCGGCTCCTCCTCACCTTAATTCAACAAGTGCTCTACTATATAGCAAGCAGAACATGGATGGGCTGCAGTAATAGTTACAAGTTGAGTCCTTTCTCTTATGAATGGAAGTCAAGAGGGCTGTAAAAGAAGTCACATGGCCTTTCCTCAGCAGGCAGTCTTAAATGTGATTGGTTTCTCCATTGCGAGTTAGCAAATAGCTGTGGAACAATTAAAAACTGAAGGCAAGCGTCATCGTAACATGTTCAGCCATTTGGCCCAAAAGCAGAGTTCATCTTATTGGCTTATTTGACCTACTGCCCTTTTGGAAGGACCTATAGTTTAGTTATAAGTATGGTATCTTCTATGCAGAAGGTCCCCAGTTCAGTTTCTGGACTGTCAAATTAAAAGGGGAGCAGGGCTGGGACAGACCTCAGAGTGAACCACTGAAGAGCAGGGCCCAGTGGTCTGGTTCAGTCTATGACAATTTCATACATCCCATAATCTAATTGTCTAATCTGCTCCCTACTGTTGTCAGAATTCTCAGTTGATTATGTGGAGTCTGTAAAAGGCAGTGAAAATGAAGAAGGGATGTTACAAAGCAAAGAAGAAATCTCTCCTCTTGAAGAGAACTATTTTGAGAAAGCCCCAGAAACAACAGTCCAGATGGAATAAAATCTTCTTGGGGGAGATTCTGCTTGCTTAAAAATAGGACAGGGAAGCACAGGAATAAGGCCATAGTGCAACAGCGGGGATCAGAGGGTTACTGCAGCTCAGCATAGTTTGGTAAAGTTATTTGCCCTGCCCAAAAGCTGCACAGATTTTGCTGTTGTCGTTGTCCGTTTGTGTTCGTGCATGTATTAGTCACGGAGTTATTAATAATTCCTTTCATATCCCTGATCTTTTGCCTTTCCCTGAACATTTCCTGTACTGTAAACTCCTTTCTCAGGAGGCTTAGATGCATATGCTGACATTTATAAACTGAAACTGATCAGAGACCCCTCTCTTCCTGAACAGACATGCCAGGAGCCAGCAGAAGGGGGTCCCCAATCTTTTCTTTCTTTCATTATGATCTCAGCTCAGAAGTGGTTGGATTAACCACTGTTTATTTATCAGGGACTGAGAAGTGGCTGAGCTTCATATGCCAAAGGACCCCAGGTCTCCAGGCATGGCATACTAGTGCATTCCTTAGTCTGTGTGGTGACCCATTAGCCTGCTCACTCACTCCACTTCCATCAGTGCAGAGAGATTTAGATTTAGCAACTGTTCTGAAGAATGGTATTCTCTCAATCTCTTTGCCTTTCGCTCCCCACTTTCTGCAGCTCCTTGCCTCCCTCCTCTTTTTTTTCTTGCATTCCTCTCCTCCTCCCTCCTTCCCCCCCTTCTCTGCTCTTTTCCTTTGTTTGCCATCTCACTCGCTCTCACTGGCACGCACAGCACAATCCAAATGCAATATCAGTATTTGCCAGAACTATTTCCCAAGGCCGGCAGGGGCTTGATTTAACAGCAGCCGATTGTAGCTTTTATTTCACAGGGTAATTTAGTTTTTAGACATTCTGGTTCCAGAAAAGCCTGACATGTGTGCACTGAGTGTAGAATCTCCAAAAGGGGGAAGTAGAAATGTGTGTGG